TGGTACAACAAATGCTTGGCACTTTCATAGCCCATAATGTATGGTATAACCGACACCTGAGCTATGAAAGGAACTTGATTTGTTGTTAACATAAGTTATAATCATGAATGCTTGACGAGATTTACAAGTATTAGCATTAATTGAATAAGATGACTAATGTAATCATGTTAACAATATATAATCTGATTGGAACCTCCTTTGTGTGTGGTTCAATATGCCTATGTTTTCTCATGACTATTTATGCCTTATGTATGGCATGACTATTGATATTTACTATGACAAATTTGTTGAAATCCAACTTGCCATGAACTTTTAAACTTGATTATCTATTATACTTTTATTAACGGTCCTTATTTCACATGTGAGTTTCTACAGAAAGCTCAATTAGTCTTGATTCATATCCAAGAACCGTATCATGAAAAAGAAAGCTATTATTAGTTAAATTTTTTTTGATATAAAACAACAATTAAAAAAATATTTTCAAACACGTTCTTTTCAATATGTATGACATCTAGATTATAGTGGATAAACTAGTCTTTCAATAATGAAGCTTCCAAAATATACTTCATTTAACTCAATTATAGGTCACAACAAAACCTCATTTAACCTAATTATAGGTCACATCAAAACTAAAAAACTTCTACTTACTAGATTAAAAATCAAACACAATGCCCTCGTACTTTTGAGATCACGTCATACAATTCTTCACTTGATGGTATTGATAGTGTAACATCCCTTTTAAGTCTACTTACGAAAAAGTCATTTATGTTCCTTCTATACCTGTGATCGATTGGTAAGAACCTCTGGTGGTAATAAAAAAACGCTTTACCATTATTTGTTAAAGTGAATGCCTTGTTATTTTCATACAATATAGACATGCTAATTTTTTATGCATGCTCTAACCAGAAATCATCTCATACACATGAAAATCATTGATCATTCATATTAAAGTTGCCTTCAATTGAAAATTATATTTTCTCTAGACATCACACGATAAAATCCTGGATGACCATAACTATTTCAACTTATCAATCATCGGTTGAAGAGAAACATATTTATTTCTACCTAGACTATTAGGACTGAGTATGACTATAGATAATAACATGAACTCCGGCGTTATATATATCTCCGATAGAAAGTTGTAAACCATGAGTATCACCGATCAATAAGAATATGGTGCAATAAATAACCTGAATGAATAAAGTTTGTCTATACATAACTCAACATATATATTTCATGGTTCCCTTGAAACCAATGATGCACCCTATTAAACTATTTTTAGGCTTCACCATTGAAAAGGTGCATTATAACTCCATCTATCGCATCATGTGAATAATGTTATGCCATGTGCTTAACAGTTTTTGAAGACATGAATAACCTTTATAGTTTATGAATGATTAAGAAGCATTTCAATTTTCTATATGCAACAAAAGTTATGTCCTTGCTAGTTCTGGGTTTATATCGAGCATGCTCATAGATTCTACACTTAGTCAAATCTACATTTTCTAGGTAGTACAATATATAAAAGTTTGAACATATGTCAATTTTCTAGTATTCTAGGCCAAGAGGTTTTATCATGGATTTAGCAACATAAAAGTTCTCTTTTAGCATGTTCCTTTAAGGTAAAATACTTCTAGTTTATTTGACGACTCTGTCGTAACCAGCATTATTTAGCCCATGATCTGACATAATGGTGAACACTTGTGCAATGACCAATAATTTATTGTGATTTGAGCACTCATTCTATAATAGTTCATCGGAATCTTTTAAAAAATAAAAAAACCTAGCTGCGTCTGTATTTAGTTCTTTATCTATGATTGAACATTTACATGCATTACCCTAATTCATTTTTATTGTATCTATAACCATGCTCTTATAACGATTACTATTATCATCTACAACTTCATGCACATTGTTAGAATTAAAAGTTGACCTAACTATAATTTATATCATGGTCTTGTAAGGAATATATGATTCTCTATGTGCAAACTCAAGTATTTCTCTATAAACCCTATATATACTATTTAAAAATGCCAAAAAAATAACATTTTAAAAATAGATCACTACAAAACATAGGTAGTTTTGCTCACTTAATGTGACAAATCTTCAAAAACCATTAAACCATAATAGGAATATTGACAGATCGAATATTAGGGTGACTAAACTTGTGATGATGAAAGTTTGATTTGTGACAAAATATAAGGGTGTTGTGTGCTATTTTTTGCATGGTAAAAAAGAAGAAAAATAGTATGAGCGAGGAAATATTTTGTCGGTAAATATCACTTTAATTTATCAACGAGTTTTTTCTGTTAATATTTCTGTTTGTATTTAATATTTTTCTAGCAGTGCAACAAGTCTGTATTTAGATGCACTTCTAATTAAGGTGCAATAAACTTAATGGACGAGAACTAACCTTAAGCTTTAGGTTAAAGAGAAAATTAATAGAGGAAATTAGAGTTTTAAAATTAGAGGAGCTAAACTAAAAAAAAAAGGTAAATAAAAGTGTAAAATTTATGCAAATATATGTAGAAAAACCAATTCTAAAACACTATTCATTAACCTTTGTTATAGAGAATTTTAGGAACAAAAACTCCATTATGAACTTTGATTACCCTTCTTAATACTAAATTGAACTTGAATGTTATAGCTTTAACTGATGTTTTTTGAGTTGAAAAAACTATTTAGGTTTACAAAAAACTATTTTTGAAGAAAATTGATGAAATTCTATTATTTATAAGTTGGTTTGGACAATACAATAGGCTAGAAAAAATAAATCTTTATGGATAAAGCCCAAACCTCAATTCATGTTTTAAAAAATATTTTTTCATGGTTAAAAAATATTTTACAATAAATCCAAACTAAGCATTAGTCAATATTATAATTAAATATAAATATTTTGACTTTATATTAAATATTTTTCGAGTTGGATTGGTCTGGAGGAAATAATTTTTCATGGATGATACCTTAGCTTAATTTTTGTTGTCTAATTTTAAAATTAACCTAGTTAAAGCCCGAATAGAGTCAAATTAAGCATGTGAGTTTGAGGCAAAAATTTGGGTATTCTTCCAGTCAACTTTTAACATCTTCTATTCTCACTGTATATTAAAAAAGACTTGTTTCTTTTTTATATAAGATACAAGTTCTTAGAAGGCCAAACCATATCATCTAAAAAAAATTTGAGATTAATTTTTTATTTATCCATATTTTTTTAAATAATGTTAATATTTTATGTTAAAGAATTTATATTAAAAAATAAATTTCAACAAAGTTTTAATCTTAAGTTAACTTCACTTTTAAATTTGCTTTAAATATGTCCAATAGCCATATTTTAAACAAAATTTTCAACATCTTCCCCTGTCCATGGTGGTTTCTCTTCAACCAAACAACCATCAATATATGGCTGTGTTAGCTAAATGGTGCAAAAGCGGGCAAAAATGTACATCACAACCGTTGGTTTTTATTCTAGACGGATGCCTGTAATGCAGATTTATTTTATCTGCACTGCTATGAAGAAAACAGTGGTGCAGCACTAATTGCGCCATGTTAATGCAGACAATACGATATGAGAGGAAGAATCATTGTAGAGATTGTGCTTTGTTGAAAAGGTTGACAGCTTCATATATTGGCCACCACTTTATTTCTTATCTAAATACTAAAATTCTTTTCAGGAGCAAGAATGCTCGTCACCTTACATGTCTGCGAATGTTTTGGCTACAAGCTACCTGATATAAGGTCACTGACACGCTAATTGCTCCATGCAAACTCTTTTACAGATGTTCAAAATAACATGGAAATTCAGTGTTGGTTTTTATCCTATAATTTTTATCTGTATAATATAATGTATGAAACAACGCATTTTATTGAAAGTATCTGTGTTGACTCCCTTGCAACTTCATCTAACATTCTTAAAGTTGGATTCATTACTTCAATATACTGAAAAAGGGGCCTGGTTGAATCTATCTTTATGAAGTGGAAAGGCACTTTTATATCAAAAACCATGCAATTGAGTTTTAAAAGACTAGTGAATCAGTTCTAGTTGGTATGGTTGTGAAGGAGCCAGTTGAATTATTGCACAAATTTATAAAGCAATCTATGTTCAAATCTCGGTAACAGTGCAGGTATTGAAGCAATGAAGTTGATACGATTGCTAAAATTGGATAGATGGCCAATTGACTATTCTGTCTGTATTCAGCTATGAATTAAGATAAATGGCCTTCGTGAACTTGTGATTGTTATGCTCTGTTTGAACTGGAGTCTAGAGGCTGTTACATCACTGAGAATTTGAGATTTATGCATGAATGGTTCTCTTGGTGCAGTTACGTTTACACCCAAAGCTCCAGCTTGGAGTAGAATTAGCTCTCCTCCGGCTAGCTTTATAGTCTACGCTGCCTGGTGAAATATGGTTGGCATGCCTCAGATTTGATAGGTGCTAACTATATATATATACAGGGTGCATGCTTCAATGTGATGTCTGAGCACTTACTTGAATAGTTAAAAATGTATATTTTCACATAAACTGTTACCAGCAACTTTGCAGTCCGTCTGCTATTTTAGTTAGAGATAGCCTCTCATTTATATATTGTTTCTGAGCCTACTGCATGATGCCACAATATCATTTAACCTGTTTTTGAAGACAAAGGCAGTTGACGGACCATTACCTTTTGTGCTTCATTAAACGTTCACTGTCGTTTCACCCTCCCTTCACTTTGTTGAAGAGTGCTTGATAGACCGTTAATTCAGGTACCGGGTCTGCATCCTGCACAATTTCCTGTAAAATTTTGCTATTTATAGCCAAGTTAAAATGGCCACCCAAATTTTGAAACCTAAATCTGTAGCACCCACCTCTCAGTTTCTCCCTCACACACACACACAAGGAAAGGTCATGATCTCGGTTTGGTTGATTCCATCACCAACACCCTTGTCATGATCTTCTATCTTATCATCCTTTCAGACCTTTCATTTCACCCATTTTGGTTCTTGATTTTAGGATCAAAATAACTATGGCAAAAAGATCATTTAAATGTTTTGTGGAACAAGATCTGGGAAAGCTCCCACTCTTCTTGATCTATGCTGTGCTCGAATGGGTGCTAATTGCTGTGGTATTTATTGATGGGTTACTTGCGTTTTTTGCCAACGAATTTACCTTTTTTGCCAACGAATTTACTAAGTTCTTCGAGTTGAAAATCCCTTGTTTGCTCTGCACAAGGATTGATCTTGCTGTGGTTCGTAGAGATGCTGATCTTTATTACAACCAATCCATATGTGAAAATCACAAGAAGGAAGTTTCAAGTCTAGCTTATTGTCGTGTCCACAAGAAGCTTACGGATATAAGAAAAATGCGTGAGGGGTGTCTTCTTTCTTTTGCTACGAAGAAAGAATCTGATTGTGATACATACAAATCTCCTGTTAGGGCTTTACATAAGAATATCGAGCTGTTTGTTGATGATGATCGTGACATTCATTTGAGGCTGCCTACTGGAGGAAAAGACAACACGGTGCCAGCTGAGAAGAGCAACCTCCACCAGGGTTCATGTTGTGGGAGCCCATTGAAGGTAGAGGCCTACACGAAGGGAAAGACTTCATGCACGCTCTCACAAGCTCCTACTCCTTCTCCCTGGGTACCATTGGTGAGTTTGAGAAATGAGGACCCTCGGAAGTTGGACTTATCCCACGTGCGATGCACAGAACTCAACTTATTCTCAGAAAATGATACAGAGCTTCAAGATGATGAGGATGTCTCCCATGCAGCACATCTGGATAAGCAATGTTAGTTTTAAATTTAATTTTGTTTTTGCTATCTCTATCACTTCTTACATGGTCTGGTTAATGAATTCTTTGAACTCTTAAAGATTCGTTTAACTATGCAAAGTTCATATGCATGCATGGTATTACTCAGTGAAAGTATATCGACGCTGTCCACGTTATAAAATGCATTTTCTTGAAATGCATTGGTTAAATTCTTAACATCGCACATGGTTGCTTCTTGCTTTTGATCTCTTAGTTTTCAACAACCTCATTGATTTAGTGGGTGTATTTTTTGTGTTAATTAGTTGCGGACGATGTGAAAGCTGCTATGGTGCCATTGCTGACAGAAGCTGAGAATACGAATGAAGATTGGACCTCTACATTTTCCAGAGGAAATAAGTTTCTTGGAATCCTACTAACAGATTCAGCCACCACCAGTCCCAGGGCATTTACTAGGTTTCCAAGGAAATCATTCCTTGACGAAACTGAAGATGCTTCAGAGTCCACTGAAGGGACTTGTCTATCAAATGAGGTAGATGATGACTCAATTTTGCACCAATTGAAGAAACAGGTTCGTCTGGATCGCAAGTTACTGGTGGCTTTATACATGGAATTGGATGAAGAAAGAAGTGCTTCGGCCGTTGCAGCTACTAATGCAATGGCCATGATCACCTGGTTGCAGGCAGAGAGGGCAGCTGTTCAGATGGAGGCAATACAGTATCAAAGAATGATGGAGGAGCAGGCAGAGTATGACCACGAGGCCCTGCAAGCAACAAGGGATATACTTTCCAAGAGAGAGGAACAAATCAAGGGTTTAGAGTTTGAGCTTATGGCCTTTAGAGAAAAATATGGAGTCTTTTTCGGACAAGGTTTTATGGGATCCGGAGATGAGATTGATGAGGATTGTCATGAGTTGAAACCACATTCTCATTCATCTTATTAGCACCAACTTATAGGTCCACATAAGGGCAAAATAATGCAGAAAATGTGTCTATACCGTTTTTTACCCTCTCTTTTCTAACATGTTTTCAAAAAAAAAAAAACCGAAATGACGTACAAGAAAAGAAATAGAGACCATATGAAAGTTTAAATCCCTCTCCAAATGACATAAAAAAATAAAAATAGTGTAAAAAATAAGTAAAGTATGAACTATAAATAGAATAGATACATAAAAAAATTAGGGTGAAAATACGTAGAAAGAAGCTAATGAGAGAAATTACATAGAAATTATGAAGATTAAAAAAAACACAATAAAAAAACCAATATAGAAAATAAAAATAAAAAGAGAAAAAGAGAGAAACAAGGTTCAGAATGTAAACTAAAAATATATAAAAAAAATCATTAGAAAAAAATACATTTTCTTTGTCAAAACATACTTAGCCACTAATACTCATCTTCTTTTCCTCTATATTTTTTTACCCTAATTAACTAGCCCCTCTCCTCTTTACCCATGTTGTATTCTAACAATCTTGTTCATTACCATCACAATATCAAACACATAAACTTAACAACTATATCTCTTCATGAACCCGCAACTTTCAATAAAGTCTTCTTTATCACTAAAACATCACTTGCAGTGATAGAGATACCGGACTAAAGACACCATTTATGCACATATATGATCTTTGATGATGAAGGATCACCCAATCTGTTGTTATTTGATTGAGAAATTTGGTGTATTTATGCTCAAGTTATTAGATTTTTATTTAAGTTTATTAATTAGAATTGAATAAAACTCACATAATTAAAAACTTTTTCAACCCATATTCTTTCTTTTCTTTAACTCTTTTCTTTTTTTTGTGGGTCATTTTCTTATCTTTTAGCTTATTCTTAGCTTCTTTCTTCTTTCTTAGCTTCTTTTCTTAAATTTTTTTTGTCCCACATCAACTTCAGTATCAGAGTTAAAGTTTTTAATTGTTCTCACAATTCAACGATTCATAGACTTATTCAAATTCCTAGTATTCAATCTAGTTCATAAACCCTATCTTATGGAAAGCTTTCATCAACAATGAAAAAAAAGTGTTTTTTTTTTTGCCTTATCCTATTTACAATCAAAATCTAAATAAAAAAGTGACATCTATAGGTTAGTTGTACACTACATCAGCGATACCATATCAAAAATAGCAATCCAAGTGGTCTATCATCATTCTTAAGTAATTTGTTCAATAAATCACTCTACCATTCGATGCATTAGATTTTATTACTCTAGTATTGCACTTATTACTCAGAGTTGTCTTTGATAGTAAACTTATTTGGCATATTTATCTTTTAGTTTTTGCTTATAAACCTTTTTTATCATTGATATCTAGCATTTAGTTTTCTTTGTTAATTGTGAGTTCTTACTTGTGACATTGAGTTTTATTAATTATTTACACTTAAAGGTTTAACACATGTATAAAGTTTTCTTAGTGTATTTTGTTCTTGATTAATCTCTAAATTTAAAAGAAAAAATAGAATTAGTTTTATTTTTGTATTTTGATTTCACTTACAAGAATAATTTGTGATCTTAATTTCATCTTCAAGATAATGTTACATGCATTTACATCATAGTCATCTAGTATCTAACCTTAAGTCTAAAATTACCATGAACTCGACCTTTAGTGATACCTTTAGTGCAATTTAAGGACAACCACATTTTATACGAACCTAGATGACTGGTTTGTCTAAAAAATTAAACCTTTGAAGAATTTTCAAATAGAACATCTTAAGACTAGCAAGATTTATAGAAATGACACTATAGGCAAGTTCAACATGAGCACTACCAATATAATTATTATTTGAGTTACTCCAACTATGGTAACCCCAATGAGTGAGTCATAAGATCTAACAAAGTAGAGGTCTTTACTTTTGACGATCGTCATGATTCTTAGATTTTTAAGAGGTGGATTGGTGACATAAATAGTTTTTTTTATTGGTATAACTTATCTATGATTAAAAAAAATTTAGATTTTCTAATATGAAACTCATCGGTGAAGCTCAATTTTACTAATAAAGTGTTAAGCATTGTTTAGAGAGGATAGATATACCTCTTATCACTGATTGCACTAAAATGAAATAAAAAGTAAAAGAGAAGTACCTACCCAATCTTATAGGAATATAATTTTAGAGTAATTGAGTAATATTAATGAATGAAATAAATTTAAAAGTGAATATATAGCATAATTTAATGATTATAAAAGGAAATACGTCATTAGAGAGAACAAGACCATAGTAGGTTTCATAGAGGTTTGAAAAAATGATCTTAGAAGAAAGGTTGTATTCTAAAGTTTTTCCACCTTTGACTAAGCCTATATAATAGTACAAGATTACGAGTAGGTTACAAAGAGTCAATAGACAAATTATCAAAACTCTTATAGTATCCATTTTAGGTCTTAATTTATAAATAATGATTCTTTGTTAGGTACTCTACCTATAGACCTAATCCTAGTAGTGCCCAAATTTATAAACAATATAAATGCAAATTAGTCATCAATGAAATGTATAGGATAAGTTTAAAGGTTTAGTATGTTAAATGTCAAAACTTTGATCATATCTTTATTAAATAAACTCTTAGTTATCTAAAAATATAAGGATAATTATCGACAAATAGAAGGATATAGGTAAATAAAAGGATTATATTAATCAAGTGTATGAATTAAATTATGAGGACTTTAATAATCTAGATAAAAGGATGTGCAATGAGAGAGACTTAACATGATAAAGCTAAATTATGAGCATGAGAAAAAAGTTAATGAAGAATATAAGGAGTATGCTTTAGTGGTAAAAGAAGTTTTATTAGGAAACTCTTTAGTGGAATCACTTAAAAAGGTAAGTATAGTCTTTTAAAAGTCTCATGATATAAGTTTTTCTAAACTATCTAATCCTTTACCACTCTAGCTTGACAATCAACATGTTATAGGTTTAAAGCAACATTTTAAGCTCCATGATCTCTTACCCCTAATACATGATGAAGAAGATGAAGATAATTCTAATATACTAGGTTATGTCCAAACCATATTTACTCAAGTTTTGAATAATGTTTTTTTTTCATTCCACACCTTCAATAATATAATATTTATAGTTACAAATATAAAAAACATGTATATCTTTTTTCAATGTGTCATCTAGTTATGATATGCAAGTCAGCTGAGTTTGCATGTAGAGTTCATAAAACAAATTTTAAGCAAGCAATGAATAATATAAATTTTAAGTTGATTTATATAAGTATCATGATGTATTTAATATTGAAGATTATTTAATGATATAGATTAGACCTTAATAGTGTCATTTTGAAACCAATCATAAATTACAAATGAGTAGTGCTAAGCAATTAAAAGTGTTCTAAATGATTGAATCAAATAGTTATGTCATGAAACTGCTACTAAACTTTGATATTATATCTAATTTTAACATAAAGACCTTGTTATATATAAACCATAATAATTTATCCTTAATGATTATTTTGAAAACCCTACCCTATTATCCTTATCTTTGGCACAAAATAAATATATTAATGTTACTTTGACTGCAGAGATTTTTTTTACTAGGAATGGTGAAATTTAGCGAACCTTAGTTCATGAACTAGATGACTCAGAGTATACTTGGATTATCAACATCACAATAGCTTGTTCATGATATTTAATAGCATTATTGACATAAACTACACTTGACAGTGTCCAGTTTCTCTAACCCTAGGAGAGTTAGTAGGGATACTACACCTGAGACACGATTCACACATGTGTATGATCTTTGATAATAGAGGCAGCCCAACCAATTATTATTTGGTTGGGAGACTGGGCATATCCAAGCCTAAGTTATTAAATTTTTATTTGAGTTTATTAATTAGGCTTAGTTATGTTATTTTATTGGACTTTTTATTAAGTGGATTATAAGCCTAATTATGTTTTTTAATATTTACCATTTATATGTTCCTTTTCTACATGTTAGACAATTTATGATGAATTGAATAAAATTTACAGAGTTGCAAACTTTTTCAACCCCTATGTTTTCTCTTTTTTAGCTCATTTGTTATCTTCTTAAATCTTTTTTTCCCCATATCATACAACCACCTCCTTTTATTTACGCACCTTTTATCTATAATAAACTACTGATCTGACCCATTATCTTTTTCTCGCGATCTTAACTTATTAGTTTTGTCATCTCGCCCTTTCCCTTTAACATGCCCTTTTTTTTTAATCAAACAACACCATAAACCAATTACCATTGATAGTAACCCAGCTTGCGCTAAAATCTAACCATATTCCACCCAAAAGTATTAGCCCTCTTACAACCTAAAATCACCCGAAACCCAGCCTAAAATTGACCCAAAATAATTAAAAAATAGTAATCATCTTCACAAGCCCAAGAACCCGATTCTTATTTTATTTTTTTCAAATCGATAGGTTATTCTTGGATCCAAATGAATTTATATTTGTTTTTGTATAATTTGTAAAATGATATTATATACGGATATTTAATTTTTATAATTTTATCGCACATGTGTGGCGTCGCAGCAATCATCCACCACTCAAAGAAAATGTAAAGGTCTACCTAGCAAATGTGGAGAGACAAGAATTTCTTGTCTCTTGTCAGCAAAAATAAAATGAAAGTTGCCACCTAATATTTTGATTACTAGTAACCCTAACTAGTGTCAGAGATGGGGTACGGAGACTGGTTGCGTAAAAGAAAGGTATTACCACCCCAAATACACCCTACCTAAGGTAAGTTACATTATTTTATGGTTTGATAAAAAAATATAAGCAAATTAAAAAAAATTAATACTAGAAATATATTTTACGTATAAATTTGTAATCCCTAGTACTAAAACCAAACAAAAATATTTTTTGAATTATTGGTCAATGTTTTCTTGACTTTAATAAACTTTTATTAAAGTCAAAATGCAAGCTAAAATATTTTTTTTGGTGCATGATAAAAAAAAAACATGATATGATTTTTTAACTTTAA